ACACACACACACACACACACACTACAATGAGGCGGGCTGATCCACACCTTGCTGACATGTGACTGAACAAAACTGGAGACAATCACAGAATAATTAACAGAAAGGCTTCATGTAGAAAGTCTGCTGAATGCAGAATAAAGGTCAGATGATGCTGGAGGCCAAGTGGCCTCGCTGGCCGCCCAGCTACAAGGTGGCTGTCATTAAACATGACAAGCAGACAACAAGCAACACCTCCTGCTGTGAGGCTCAAGCTGCAGCGCTGCACGTACAAATCTAATATTCCAGCTGTGTAACTCAAGTAGTTAACTTATTGGGAGGATGAAAGTTGTCCTCCAGTGAGTAAAATAAAGAGCTTACTTTGTCCGTCAAACTTGCGAATGATGGTGTCCAGGAAGGTGTTCTGTGGGGCCACGTGTCCCCGTCTCACCGGCATCGCTGCTCAGAGAGACCTTTCACTGTGACTGGCTGAAACGTGAGGTAGTCTGAGTCTTCAGAGGTATACAGGAGCTGTCTTCTGCATGTTTTCTACATGATTGCATGGTTGTTTATGAAAACAGGGCTGTTGGAGTTTGGTCTGCCCCTCCGCCTTCCACCTGACTCCACTCATAATCTCAGTCCTCGTCTCTGATTGGTCACAGTAACATCAGTGAAAGAGCTGTGGATCAGAGGTGAAGTCTTTGAAAAGCAGAAAGAGAAATGTAGTTCCTTCTGACCAAAGCTATTAGGATGACTTTTTTTTTGGTTTTTGAAATTTGCTTTTTTATTGAGGAATTTTTAACCATTTTTTACAGAAATCGACCTAAGAGCAGGAACAGTGGGGGTACCTTTTCTGCAGAGCATCATCATCATCTGCAGCAGTCATCATTATTTGAGTGGCAGCTTAACATAAAGTGGGATCTTATAGGCTCAACATAATCTTTCCATTTTAACCAAGTTCTATAAAATGAGGCCATTTGCAGATTTAGTCGAAAAGACACTTTTTCCATTTTGTAGATTTCTTGTGTAATGTTGATTCAGCGCTCACTTCTTGTCTGCTCAGGCTCCAGCCATCTTCTGGTGACGTTCTTGTTACTTGCTACTGAAAGAATGTCAAGTAGTTTCTTGTCTCCGTTGTTCAGGCCGTCCAGCACTGTGTCACCAAGACACAGATTCAGATGAAAAGGGGAAACAACTGAGAGGATGACTAACATTTACGAAGACAGTAAGACTAGTAACAGTGACACCCTTCCACTTTTAGTCAACTCATAATACACTGACATACATTAACATGACTTTTACATCTCATGGTGCAACATTCTTCATCAGCATGATGTGGCGTGACTAACTTCAACAAAAGGTGGTAAAACATTGGAACAAAGACGAACTCCTTTGACCTGAGTGGTGTCACATATGAGTTCACATCAGTAACAACTGTTTCCTGACATGACGTGACCACACTGTCATGTTTACTGTTTCACAAAAGGATAAACAAAAAAATAGAGCATTGCTGAATTGACAGTCGTCACATTAAAAGCAGGCTCGGTGGTTAGCACCGTTAGCGCCTCA